AACATTCTTTATTTGAATTTCTTGATCGGCCTTCTCTTTAGCTTCCTGGAATTCATTTGAAAATTTCTTTCCAACGAACTGATTGAGCAAAATTATAATTAACAGTGTAAGTCAGGTACTAAATTGTACCTTCTGGGAAAAGGGAATTGTCAATATGAATTTCATATGATTGAAGAAATAAATAAAACAATGAATACAAAAACAAAACCAACAATAAATTAACCTGTTTGTCGAGCTCTACGATGAAATTATCCAAGTCTTTTATCCACAAATCACTCCACTCTGTCTCTTCCAATGTCTGTTGATATGAACATGATGAAATTTTAGAGATAAATGCGGAGCAAATGAAAGGAATAATTGATGGTTGACAAATAATAATAACTCAAACGATCAGAATATTAAACACTAATAAAAATAGATTGCTGCACCTTCAGTTCTTCCAGCTTGTCACCGCTTTCACGTAACAATTTGTCCTTCTCTTCAGATGATAATCTTACGATTGCCATACCAACCAAATAGTCATAATCGCTCAGTTTACTTTCCAAATCTTTTTGTTGTGCGTTCTTGGGTTCCTTTCAAAAGCAACAGTAATAAGAATGATGATAATACGGATGATAATGATGATGATAATAATAAGGAGAAGAAATATTCATTTCACCAACTTACTCCTCGAACTAATCTACTGTTTACTATAGGATATGCAAATTAACTCATTGTACCACATATAAAATACTTTCATCAAAAAGAATTCTTGCAGAAAATTGACTGAGCAAACCAATGGAATACCTTTCGATTGTGCTCATCCTCTTCACCTTCGTTCTCTTCATTCTCGCCATCGCTTCCCTCCTCAGTGATAATTTCACCGGTTGCCTCCATTTCCTTCTTCTTTTGCAATTCTTTCCATTTCTTGACTGGATCCGGATCGAATCCCATACTCACCAACTGTTCCACAATCACCGCTTTTCGTTTATTTTCTATTTGAATTTCACCGTTTATTTTTTTCAGGATGAAACGTGCCTGAATTGAACGTTTTCATTCGACATTATCGTGGATATCCACATCGCAATTATTAATATTTCATTGTAATTTTGAAACGAATACTTTCATTCCATTCTATCCGAACGTTATGTTTGTTTTGTAAGTACCAACACCGGAGCACTTACCAATACAATGATTTATAATATGCTCACTGGGTCATCGTCATACAAACCGCTACTTTGGATAATCAAAACATTCATT